GCAAAACAATTCCAATTAAAGCCAACTGTATTCCGTTTAAGTTTAATTTTTGGCAAATATACTCTCGTTTCAGAGATTCCTATAGAAATATGTGCATTTTATACCACTTGTCCGAAGGGTTGCAGAGCCTATCTCAGAAACAATGGCCACAAGGCATGGAATCACCCAGTATGTGCCTTAGCATCATATTTTTGGACGGGGGGGGGTATGGTGGAGACCGGAGAACTTGGGTGAAACCCCACAGCAGGCCGAGGGAAACAGGCAGACTGTACATAGATAGCTGGGGGGGAGACTCACACCCTAGTTTGTACAGGTGAGAGGCAGCCATACCAACCACAGCACCACTGTGAGACCAGTGCAGGAATATATTTAGAATGAAAATCCACCAACATGCGATGTCAGGCATCCTGCACATGGTCTCCACTGCCTTAGTTTCCTTGGAGATGCTCCAGACTCTGCCATGCTTGATGGATGGATGGATGGATGGATAGATGGATGGAATGACTGGCAGTCAAAGCTGGTGAAGCAGTCAGACACTTTAATTGAATCACTTGCACATGAGACTTGTACTAGAAGCATGTCTCTGTGTGGATGGATTTAAAGGCAGAGTCAGATACCACAGTGGGCTTCACTGCAAGCGGAATCTTAATCTAAAGGTGCTTTATTGATCAGATTTCTGCATCCAGGGAGTCTATTTTTAACAAGTACTGCAGCACCATCAGCACAAAACGATTCTCTTTCTAAGCTAGAATAATGGGCCAATTACTTAGAGCAGAGATGTAATTTTACACATTTGTTCATCTGCATACTATTGGATATCTTTTCATTTAAATTTCACCCAACTGGAATCCAAAGATTGATTGTTTTTCCTCATGCTACATAACGCTAGCGGAACATTACAATGACCATCAAATACAGTACGGTCACCATAAAAAAAACTGTATCCCCTTAATGACTGTCAAGTACCCAGAATGCATTGCACCACACATCTGTATGCCTCAGAGACGTCACGCTCATTCTGGGTGTGGGTGCACTTACAATAGCCCCTCAAGGATGTGCTCCTGCAATCCCCGCACTTAGTCCACACTGGGCCCACGGCAGTCCATGGTCCCAGCACAGTGAGTGGCACATGTTTGCTGTTGGATATAAATGCAGTTTCTCCTGCTTGGACCTTTTCACGGAGGTCAGCTTATTCTTGTAAGCCTGGAGAACATCCCTTTGACTGCAAACTTTTTCAAATTCCCCTCCTTTCATTTACGTCTGCACCGGTAAAGAGAGCAATGAAAGACGTCGATTTTTACCGCGTATCACAGAGAAATACAGTAAGTTCTGCTTGACAAAGCGGGTTATTTTTCTCATTCTTTCAGGTTACGCAGGATGACAATTTCAACATCTCCACCTGTTACTTATCTTTGCCAACCTGTTCTATTTTCATGTGCACCAAGTTTTCACAGGAAAGCACGCATTCGTTTTGCAGAGGCTGTTCGTTTGCTTTCGTCTGCACATATCCATTTACTTGTAATTTTACAACAGTAAACCCTGTCCAGTTCCCTTCCAGATCTACACTATGAGCCTGCTGCAACAGCCGGGCAGACAAGAGGTCGCACACCACATTTAACGAAACGACTCCACGGTTTATCTACTTGCAGAACATATCTTACCGAGTCTAGAAAGGAGTAATGATTTCATGGTTTGGCGTGACACTGATTCCACCTTTAGATGATGTTATTTTAAAGCTGAAATAGCATAGGGGACCCATTTATTACTGCTTTTTAGGACCAGAGGCAGATCTCAAGCAAACAGGCTGAACCAGATGAATTCACTGCAAATACGTCCCTGTGTCCATACAGAGCCTCTGCATCTGTAAGGCTTTGAATTCAAAATAGCAGATGCTTAAGGCTCTGTCCCACATCCCATAATGCAATTATAATGGACATCTGTATTCATAAAGGCCTCAGGCAGCGCCCACTGATTTCGGTCTGTTAGCGGGGAGTCTCATCACTGCCCACCGGTTTAAGATTTTCCACAAATAAATCAAATTATATTTTTTTTTAAGAAAGGTATAATGTCTTTGTCATAAAATTAAAAGAAATGTCAAAGCAGAATGCCAAAGTTATTGATATTTTTAAATGGCACTAAATCTCATTGCTGGCTCTACCAATTGATGGGGATGATTAAATCTTGGAGGCCGAGGTGGGCACGTTTAATTCACTTACTATTGATTATCATATTGCTCACTGTGTTTAAAAATGTAACAACTGATATGATAATTTCAGCCAGTGTGGGTGTCATGAGCTCGTTTCCTTCCATCTACGGGTTCTGCAAATGTTCACTGTGTCCGAGTGCTCAACTGATTAACTTCAAAATTAAGTTTCCATTTGGACTGAAAATTACATAAACTTGGCTTTTGCAGGAGTGAATATTTGTAATTTTTTTCCCATCTTACTAAAGCCTTTGGCAAAAGTGCATATTTTTCTTGCTTGGGTGAGATTGAATGTGCATTCATTTGCTTTCTAACCATTTGGCAGGTGCAGTTATTTTCTGGATATTATATAGGGCAACTCGCTGACCTCTCATACTTTCATCACAAAGCACAGTTCATTTTAAATGCAATTCAGAAGCCCATTGGGAAAAAAGCATCATAATTCTCAATTATTAAACCTCATTAACTTCTTGTGAAACTCAAAAGACATTTATATAATAAAAACATTTCTGCCTCATACAGCGTGGTTAATTCAGAATGTAATTATGGCAACAAGATAAGGATCTGAGAGTTAAATATAAATACAAATTACAAAATATTTGGAAGTTTTAATGAATCAATGACCTTGTTTTATAAGAGAAAATAATACTGATGGAGAGGCGCCAATAAGAGGAAAACGAGGACAGATGTGGAATCCAATAGCTACACAGATGTCGAGGTGGATGCATAACCACAGTCACCTATCACACTCAGATTAGCATGTCTGCTAATATGGAAACGCAGGCGCAGGGCAGGAATACTAATCGCTCACCGATCTGCACTTTGTCCCCGGTGGAGCGCGAGTCCAGCTGCCCACAGGTCGGCTACTCAGATTCGCCCCGACAGATGATGAGAGTGTCTCCACCAGGGTTTCCCCGCTGTCTGGGTGCCATGTCCATCTCCTCCCCCAACTCTTCCTATAAAAGGAAAGTCTACCTGCCAAAGAAGCCATGAACAGCATGTGTGTCTCTGGAGAGGTCCTGCAGCTGGATCTCTCTGCTGTCGGCCAAGGGCGGGGTCACGCTCTGGCATGATGTCCCAGACCGGCCAAGAGGCAGCACCAGTGGCCCCTGGCGACAGAGGGACAGTCCAGCCAGGGCTATAGTTAGGGGGCGAAGATCAAAAGCAAACAGGGGAGGCCCTCAGGACACGCCAACAGCAACAGGCCAGTAGCCAGGGCATCTATTCCCTTCCCTCCCACCACAGCAACGGCGCAGCACGGAGTTCTGTACCCAAAGCCCAGTGTCAGCGTTAGCATTAGCCTTTAGCATTAGCGATAGCCTGAGACAGTTACATGAGAGCAGCGGTGACCTTTTTCTGTGAGGAGCAGAACCACAACAAATTCACTCTCTTTAATGAGCCATGTTTTCAAATTAAAAATAAATCTCTCTCAGATGTGCTTTTAAAGTAAGATGCAAGCACCCAATCTGCAACCCCAGCCAAGATGAACGATTAGAAGATGGATGGTTACAATCATCCATCATAATGAAAGAGAAGATAGTAATACTTTAAAAAAACATGATTAATTACAGTAATTCACGGTCTCTTCATCTCATCGGTTTCATACAAACAGTGCTTTACTGTTAATGAAAAAGCTTCAGTTAATTCAACGAAAATACTTTTTATTTGAACCCATAATTCCACATACAGTATAAACTGATCTGTATGCGCATTCAGAGAAAGTGTACCATACATAGCGCTTGTGATGAAAATAGTCACCTTGGCAATGGTTCATATAACACTATAGTATATCAGACACAGGAAGCTCACAGTAATGTGTCTTTCTTAATAGGTGATTAGATTAATTAAGCACATCACCTGCTAAAGCTACTGCACGTTTCTCACAAAGTGTGAACTCTGAATTAAGTATGGTAAGCTGGTAAATGGTGCCTTGTCACCAGTCATTATGTAACACTGACTTTCTCACCTGAAGGATCAGCCCAAACCTCACCTAGGGCACCGTACCCAATGACCCTTCCCATCACCTGAAGGATCAGCCCAAACCTCACCCAGGGCACCCTACCCAATGACCCTTCCCATCACCTGAGGGATCAGCCCAAACCTCACCCAGGGCACCGTACCCAATGACCCTTCCCGTCACCTGAAGGATCAGCCCAAACCTCACCCAGGGCACCGTACCCAATGACCCTTCCCATCACCTGAAGGATCAGCCCAAACCTCCTCTCTGCCGTCCGCCATTTCGACAGTAGGTAATTACCAAAATTCAAATGGGTGTTCACTTTATTTACACATGTACACAGTTAATTTGATTTTTCAAACTTTTATTTAGATATAGTGTAAAAGGTGAAGTACTCATAAAAGTAACACAAAAACAAGCTAGTTGGCTCAGTACAACACATAATATATATTTAAAAAATAGGGAGAATCTGAATATGAATTAGCATGAGAATAAAATTCAGAATTGATTTTCTACTCAAACATAATATAGTGAATAAGAGCATTAAATTATGGAGAGACAACAGTTATTAGGTTTTTAATAGGTTGGTTTGTGTCTCTCACTACATCTCAGAATGAATCAAACTGTGAGAGTCACATTGTGTTTTTCCCCATCATCACTTTATATGTAGATTAATTACAGAAGGGCAACAGGTAGAGAATTAGGTGACAAAACCACTTTGATTATAAGTAGGTTCTGGCAGGTAAGCGCATTGACTGAGAGCTGAAAAACACCCAAAATGCTTCTGATTCAACTTATCATTTCTCTGTCCAGAAATGTCACATTTAAATATATTTTTTGAACATAAGGGATATTTCCTTCTCGTTCTGCTAAACTGTGCCTTGTCATTATTTCTTCAAAAACCAGATAGAATTATCCATTGAATTGGAACAGTTTTTCAGCCTTCTTCAACTGAAATATTGGTCAATTTCACCTTCAATTTCCTCAAATAACCGAGAAAAACATCCTATTAAACTAAGTACCAAAATTAAGATTGGAAAATGAAGATCTTCTAGAGATTCATAGTGAAATTCCACAAATCAGTGGCAGAATGTGAGGTTACTAAATGTCATGTCAGAGGTATATCAACAGCTAAATCTGAAAAACCATTAAAGACAAAAACTATGAATTTTTTGTTTTATCTGATTTATTACACCTAATCTGGGCCAATTTTTAATTTTTACCTGCCGGTACCTATTACAAGACAATCTATACACATTTCAGAGGTTTTACCACAATTTATTTGAAACTTTTCAGAGGTTGGAAAGACAGGGCTGTTCACCAAAGGTACTGAGTGAAAAGGGATTCCAACAATTATCAATATTGGTCAGAATTATTATTTTTTGGTTAAATATATAAAATAGTTTTGTTTTTTTGAAAAAATATATATGCTTACATAACATAACATAACATAACATAACATAACATAACACAGACATGTTAGGAACCATAAGTCAGTATTTAGGTGTAACACATTATTGCTTTAAAATGAGTTACATGTTGATTGTTAAAAGCAGGAACATTGATGTTAAAGGTAATAATTAGATGTAATGGATATACATGGACAGTCATATCTTCTACACTTCTGTACAATCTATTGCATGTTTATACCCTGCTACTGAGGCGTTTGCCAATGTGCTTGGAGGGCACAGGTAAATTCAATAAAGTGATTTCATAGTTAAAGTTGCCACGGTAACTTCTCATGACACTAATGACACTTCACAATAGTGACTAAAAGTTGATTTTTGTGTTTCTGTATTAACTTCCATAGTCAAGAACAAAATGTTGCGCCGCTTCTTGAGAGGCAGGGGGATGAACACGGAGTACTGAAGTTGCTCTTTTTCATTTTGCAGAACAAGGGAAATGCACATAATTTCATTACACAAACACTTACCTTGACTCCAGAAAAATAAACACATAGACACCCAGACGATATCGATTAGAGCTTGATCTCATTACGCGGTGGGACAAATAAATTGGTTTTTCACTCTGCCCTTACATAAGGCGTATAACTCCACTGCCATATGCTGCTCCTAGTCTGATATTTATCGGAATTACCCAGAATCCCACTCACCACAAACCACTGACTGCCTACCAGAGCTGACCTGTCCTTATTTAATTAATGTGCAGATACCGTCCTGGGAACTAGCTACTACTCTCCAGCCATAAGACTTGTCTAATAACATCTCTGAATAAAATAATCATTCTCAGCTTTTATCTAAAAGCCATAGCAAAGTGCTTATTAACAAGCCATCATACATTATTCTGCCTATACAGAAATATCTCTATTTAAGTCATTTCCTAGCCAATAACTATAATTTTCAGTGTGCATTCAGAACCAACACTGCCATTATGACTGGTATACACTAGGTAAACATTACTGTGAGTATTTGTGGTACTATTATCCTGCACTAATGAAGCCTGCTGGCTGGGTAGAAAATTGCTAAGTGGTTAAAGACTGAGCCCCCCATATTAAATTTGGCTTCATTCGTCCTGGCCAAAAAATAGACCTTCACATTTAATTCAAAAGATGATTAAAGGGCTGAATTTGCGACCTTAAGGAGAATTTCAGGAAGGCGAAAATGGCCTGAAGAAAAGAAGCTGAAGCACTTTCATTTTTAAATGACAGGAGACAGGATAGATCCGTACATTTTGTGCGACTAACGTAGGCCAATCAGAAGGGGGTTTGCGTCATGATTTCCTTACAGCTTGACATGTTAAATCAAAAGAGAAACCACCCAGCACCAATGAGTGGTCTCCCACGTCATGTGACCGGTCACATGACATGCAACATGTGAACCTTCTACTCAATAAGTCTCACAGCATGCCAAATTATGCTATGTAAACGCTTCCCTGTGTTACCTTTTCTCTCCTGGAAATTCTCTCTCTCCAATTTGTTTACTTCAAATTCCACTTGAATAAGTTAAACTTAACAAGCACAAAATGATTAATTTTGATTGTATTACACAACATATGAGTAAGATTTATTGAACCGTGTTTTCATCAGGAATATGCCATAGCATAATTAACTAAATAAAAAAATGTAAAAATAACAATTCAGAAAATAATAATTACAATTAAATACTTTTAATCCCTGGTGGTTTATTTTTTTGTCCTTATCGTCATCATAGGTTTGAATCCGTCTATTTTGCGAAGGAATTTCCATGTTCAGAAATGAACCAGGGGAGGATTGATAATAATAAAATGTAGGATTTCTAACCTTGGATTCAGTGGGGAAAAAAAGAAAAAGTAAGAATTCTTTTGTTATGGATAATAATAATGCTGCCCGGACTGTGGTGTCACAGGGGTGCTGCTGAGGATACAGTTACCAATGTAAATACGCTGGAACAGGCTTCACACTCCGGCTACAACGACTGAACAGTGTCCCAACTGTCCGGGTGGGGGGCCGCACTGGCGTCATGTGACCTCGGCGAAGGTGATCGGATTCTGAGGGGCAGAGAATAACAATAGAAACAAAGAACAACCACAACCACAAAAATAAATCAGCCCGGGCTCTGCATAAGTGATTCATAAAGGAATGTATCTGTTTTTGACAGAAAAACAACAGGGATGATTCACAGATGTTTCCTGAACTGCTCATAGCAAAACCTTCGTATCTGTATATAATTATGAATCTAGAACATGGATATATATATACACACATTCTTATATTATCATTTATCAATTTTATACTTAATGTGCATTAAGGTTTAATATTATAATGTTGCGTCTATGCATATATAGCGAATATTACGTGTGCACATACAACATATATGTTGGTACTGATGCCAAGGTCATATGTCTGTTCTCAGTTTGGATCATGGGTAATTTTCCTTAAAATGCAGGAAGTTTATCATTTATTCATCCATCCATCCTATAAGCATATGTAATACATAATGTAGGCAGGCCTCCACTGTAGATTGCACAGAAGAACAGGTGTGACACAGCACAGTCATTCATCAGCTTGCTGACATTAGGCAGACGGGGCCTCCAGTCGCCCTTATAAAGCCAAACATGCCACACTAAGATGAATGGCGTCACCAGGGAGGGGCCTGAGGCGGCAGCAGCACAGTCACCTCACCGCTCAGCCCGGTGGCTGCCCTGCTTCGCCGTCTCCTCGCCCCATTCTGCTCCCTGGGTGATGTTATAGTGAATGGCCTGTCTGTGACGGCAGGATTCTCATGGGGGAGGTGTAAGTTATGAACGTTGTGGTTTCTGACTGTGCAACTGAAACTGGTGGTACGATTGGTGGCAGCCAACCCTGTTTTTTTATTTATTTTTTAAAATTTGATTATGACTTCTGCTCATATCTTGTTCCCTCACAAATATCCAGGGACACGCATAGATTTTTCAGTGGGCAGGGGGTGGCAGGGGCTCCACCTTGGTAAGTTTTCATGATTGAGGGGGGTCCCTCCTCAATTAATTTTTGTGATACATGGGGAGGGGATCCCCAGTAGGGATATTTAGCATAATCAAAGAAGGGAACTTGGAGCATCAATGGGGACCAGACATTAATTCGCTCAGGCCCCCCAAACCACCCCCCGCCCCCTTCGCCACATGCCTGCAAATATCCCTCAATCAGCACTGTAAATCTGGATGGGGGTTGGCATCCTCTGTCAGGAGCCAAGAACACATTATACTGACTAACATCAACTCCTGGAACACATTTCAATCTCAGCGAGGGCTTAGTGCCTCGCTATCCACCGAGCTGCAACTTTTTTTGGAAATCACGTAAAACAAAACAATGTGCGGAACCACCAAAGAAACAAATATATTGGAGTACAATGTCCAGGGGGACAAAATTGACCCCACGTCAGGGAGATTGGCCTGAAGCAGGGAAGGTGTTAAAAGCTACCAGGGGTGGACATTTCCAGTCCAGAAAGTAAAAATCCAGACCAACATTTTGTTTCAACCTAACAGTTGAGTACTTTGTGACCGTGGGTCTATATTAGTGATTGCCAAATGAAGCTTCATGAACCATTTGCTGTATTTTCTGACACCACTAGATGGTGCTCTCTATTCAAAAAAAGACTCAAAGCATGCCCCAAAGCAAACCAAGAGCACTATCTAGTGGGCTCAAAAAATACAGCAAATGGTTCATGAAGCTTCATTTGGCCATCACTACTTTACCCTCACCTGGTTGGTTGAAACAAAATCTTGGTCTAAATTTGTAATTTCTGGAACTGAAATGTCCACTTCTGAGTTACATATTCAAATATAAACCTAAAGTGCATTTAGATCAAATGAGGTGACTTTTCAGTTGTACAAACTGTCTAATGATACGCCTATCTGTTCACAGTACACATGAATCACTCAACCGCAGGATGAGTTGGTTTAATGTCAATATTCTCTATAGGTTTTAAACTTTCTTGCCTCAAGCTGTTCTCCTTGACAAAGACTAAACAGCCACCCAATTTAATAGTGGATGCAAACCCAAAAGGAAAAACATAATGTTACATATTGTATTTGGCATTAAAAAATAAACTTACAGCTGTAGGGCTATTTGTTTTAAATGCACTGCATTTAGTGGATTGCTGTCAAAAGTGTGAGCAGGTGTGTAGGGTATTGGTGTTACTCAGAGAAGATTCTGGTGCTCATTTGCGGCTTGCGGATTCCCAGATCTGGTGCGGATGGACCCCTTCCAGAAAAAGGGCCTCTGCTTCGCCTTGGATCATTTGTATTCACAAGTGTAACGCTTCTCAATTTTTTATATTCCCAGTCAGCTATATGAAAAAGCCTGAATCTGATTCAAGCCTCTGCCTGTTAAAGTGGGGATAGCTATCACAAAGATCGTTCTTATATAACGGAACCATGTACAGAGATTTTAGCAGATAAAAAGCCTACGGTATCATAAATACAGGTTTGAGTTATACCCCTATTGGATACACCCTCACTCCTGCATCTGGTTTAGTTTCATCTTCCCTTCTTGACACTGTAAATGCTATTCTGGACACAGCCATCAGTAAACATTTCATGAATGCTTTGTGGTAACCAGAACATTCTAGGATGTGAGAATCAACTCGTTCTTAGAATCAAGGAACGCATATGAAAATATATTTGTGAAAATTGCCGGCTGGTTCTGTATCGGTGGGAAGCAAGCAAACAGCCGGGATGCAGGCAGTTTGGGTTCGAAGCCTGGGCTCCATGCTGCATAATAATTAAGCCTCAGATGTGGCCAAGATCTACTCCTTTTCCATCTATATCATCAGGCCCAGATGTCAATACTTATAACAGGCCATTAAGCTTAAGGATCTTACGGCTTTTTGGCCATTAGGCTCCAGAAAACAATGTGGCTACTTCACTAACAGGTTTTTAACGTAAACCAGTGTTTCTCAAACCAGTCCTCGGGCACCTCCCCGAGGACTGGTTTAACCAGGAAATGTAAATCATGCTTTTGCATAGGGCCCCCTAGTAGTGGGGCCCCCTGTTGGCCACAAACATTTATTACACTGGAAGGACAAAGTGATTCTTTGAGGCCCACAGAAACAACAACTGCCCCCGGTCACATGTGGCCGCCCCGTAATCTCAGAGTGGTGGTGCCTATATCCGCCTGCCTGACCCATCCTCCATGCTCAATCGGCCCCTGAGTGGACGGGCCCGGGGCCCCTACCTGCGTGGCCGCATACTTCTCCCCTGGGCTCTCCAGTTCCGTCCGGCTGATGGCCGGAGTGTCGGTTATGCTTCCCTCGTGAGGTATTTCACTGAGCAGCGGCTTCCCTTTGAACTTCTGCAAGACACCAACCACCTTCCACACAAACACACACACACACACACACACGTTTGTATTCATATCTTTGTGGGGACTCTCCATTCATTTCTATGGGCAAAACCCTAATCTCAACAATGACTTAACGAAACAAAATGCAAGACTTCTGACATATTTAGTTTTTTATTGCAGTCACAGATTTTTATAAAATTGAGGTTATCCTTGTCGGGACTGAAAAATGTCCCCACCAGGTAAAAAGTTACAGGATTTTATCACATTGTGGGAAAATCTGGTCCTCACAATGTAATAATTACAAAAATACACAATGGAAAACCAGAGAAGTGGACTGAACTTCACCAGTAAACTCACAGTAACTCAGCCTTTGCTCACAGGTTACCTAACCTGCCATCGCACATGACAACAGAAAGAAAAGAAAAGAGAAGAGAGTGGAGAGAAGGAAGTAGAAGAAGAGAAAGGCGGCACATAAAAGAAGCAGAGGTATATCCTGGGGGAAGTGTATCCATTAAGGGTCAAAAACAGACTAAAAAGACAGGGAAAAAACAGCATGACTGTGCAGCTTCATCTCCAAAGAAAACACGTCCTTCCAGCCCTGAGCTCTGCTCTACAGGAACCCTGGACAAAATCTGGGCACTGGACACACACTGTGCAATATGAAAGCAGCCGAAAGAGAAGATATTAGTTAAAAACCAAAGTCACTTAATGCTTGCTGATATGTACTCATCTAAAGAAAAGCAAAAAGTATGTCTGTCAAGTTATACAGTGAAATTTATGTGATTAAAACAAATAGCTAACAGGACACTGTCACACAGTAACAGACTCGTTAACATTAATACAAATTTTGGGGTAGTGCGATTCCATCTATACATTACATATTATTGTTCTCATCAGGAAACTATTTTTGTATGTTCAATGTTATTATTAAATCATATGAAAAGCTTCCCCTTCTCATATCCATTTCCAATTACTGTTTATCCAGTTAACACACATTTTGGGATCAGTTTGTAGATCGTATAAGGACTGTACTGTAAATGTCAGTCTTGGCACAAACACACAAATCTGCAATCATAGAGACATGTGACACAGCACCACATTCTGTTTCCCCACTATATTTCACCAGAATAAATGTATAAAACACTCAGAAATAACAGTCCGTTTTTTTGTTAGTCAGTCTAATGAATTTCACCTGTAGTATTCTCTAATCAGATTATTTAAAAGGAAAATGACAGAAAGGCAGAACCTTTGAAGGTTCCCAAACAGAACCAGGAGTAACAGTGAACCTTGAGGTTGGCGATGAGAGACGACCTGGACGCTGACAGATGTTTGCTGTTTATGGGCCTTTAACTGCCTCCTGTTACTGTACCTCCTGCTTCTGCTCTAGTTTATGTTGATGGCAAAAGCAGAAACGCTGTACGTGGTTCCAGAGCCTCCAACACATTTTACACTCACCCCTCCTACCAAGCCATCAAAACGACGATGAAGGCCCGCATGCCTTTTTAACGACCTGATAGAATTAATTAAGTGCTCATCAGGGGTTGATTCCCCTTAATTGGCATCAAAGGTGTATGCTCCCGGTTCTTGACACCGCAGTGTCTGCGGAGGGCACTACTGAGCCATCACAGCATGGTTTCTTGAGCGCTGCACGGGGCCACTGAGGATTCCAGCTTCCCTCTCTCTCCAGTTGTGTCGACAAGCTCGTCGTTCCGATATTTCCGGACCACTTTATCCGTTTTAGCCCTATCGGGTCCATTATCATGACCCGGGGAAAAGGATGTTCTGCTGGTTATATGGTTGCATCAGAGGGGTTAAAGAGACCCAAACATCCAGGAACATCCCAAACGGAGACGCCCATTACAGAATTCCCTTTACGTGAGCTTGTTAAAAGCAAAGAAAATTTAACTGCGGTACCCCCCTTTGATTTATCACCCATTCTCCCTTCTCTGCAGTCCTGTGACCTTGCGACGTGGTGCGTGCTGGGGGCATCTGCAGCCATGCTGACTGAAGCACAGGGACAGCTGGAGCACCCGGGTCTCTGCCCCCCCCCCCCAAACTCCCCTGCATGGCCTCAATTCGTGTTCCCATCAGCAGAAAGCAGACAGGGTCCGGGCCTCCAGGTGCGAGCAAATGACTGCCTCGTTGCATTTTAGTCCTCAGATTTAAAAAAGGGGGCTTCTGCCAGACTGGTGAACCCTGGCCGTTACCGTGACAGCACAGAATCATTTTTACAAATCAAAAATCAAACAAGCGATCGCACCGCCCTGGAGGCCGGAGGGACGCCTCGCAGGCTGAGATAGGGCAGCAATCTGGGGTCTGCCTGCTTCCAGCCACCTCCAGTCATGCATTAATCTAGATCCATTTCCCAGACAGCACTGCATAGAAATAGAAACAGATACTAGATAGGCCAATGATCAGCAGAATGACAAATACATAGGGTGGATTTGAAAAGCCAGTATCAGGTAATGTTGGGGCACCCAATAGGGCATATGTACAGTTCTGTGCCAAAGTCTTAGGCAGTCAAAGAAAATGATGCTTCAATGATCCCTAACTTCATATTGGTGGAAAACAATGACATCATGTCTCTCAAAGTGTGTCAGCTTAGCTATTTGAAAAGATCTCGTTAATTCACCTCAGTATTTGCAGGAACCGTGCAATACACAATACACGTGCAAGACTTTTGCACATTACAGTATGTGCCATGGGTAGGACGACCCCTCAGAGAGAGCCAATAGCATTGCTGACAGGTTGGACGAACCTCCTCCTTACCATAAATGTGGCAATGGCCCCGCCCACGATGAAACCGGCGATGACGTCGGACCAGTGGTTCCGGTACTCCACCACCCGGTTGATGCCGGCCAGCAAGGCCAGGCACATGAGTCCCAGGGAGAGGACCGGCTTGGCCAGCCGGGTGCCTTTTGCTTTCACCGAGCAGGTGATGTACATCTAAAAACATGGGTGACATTATCGATCAGAGACACGCCCCTTTTCTCTCAGATTTCTGTTAATGTCAGGGTGCTCACATGTATATGGATATATACAAGATCAAATGACCGTTACTGGGGTTCTTTTCACCTGCGGTTGATCACAGTGGGGGCCGCGTTTCCAAAAACACACGACCGATGATTGTTCAGTCACATGATGGGGAGGAACTGGCTATTTCAAGCTTAGATGGCACCCACGAAAGGACGGCTCCAAATTACAGCGAGGGAAAGAAACCCCCAAAGATGGTGAAATGCGTAAAGCACAAGCATGAATTTTAACATAACTGGGTCTGTAGCTACACGGGTCCAGTTGAACAATGGCCACGCTTTATACAGATGTCTTTGAGGGCTTATTTGTATCTCTCTCTCTCTCCCCTCAGTAGACACCGTGAAAACTATAATATAACAAAATTAAGACAAAAATTTACATCAGTCACTCAGTCCATACAAGTTCCTTCCTTAGCACCCCCGTCACAAACACGCAAGCTTGTCCAAAATTCATCACACTCACAATTAACCAAAACAAAGTTTCATCGTACATATAAATACACACTAATTATATCACATACAACACAAAAAAACGTTAACAATTACCATGTGCGCCTCTTGGACCACATGCAGAGTTAGATCCCTTTCAGCGCTGCGCAAATACCCCTCCTCCAGTGCCACAGCACCAAACTGAGCCAAAACTCTAGCCATTACGTTTCACAACAACAAACAAATTTACAGAGAATTCTAAATTATTCAAGAAACATCATTTAAAACAATTTTAAAGATCACAACAAACTTAGGTAACTCGATTTATAACAAAAATTAACTTTCAGAACACACTGTCATTGGGACATTTACAGGGTCACTCCATTTTAATTCAACAAATGGTTTTTGCATCACGATGTTTTATTTTGATGGAATTTGGCACGTGAATTACACATACCGTCCAGGGCTCAGAAATGTCTTTGTTTATTTTTTGGTCTCACGGTCAAGTTTAACTTTTGCGTAAGGCTGGTTTTCTCGTTTCTTGTTGAATCGAAATGGAATGACCCAACCATAAAGAACAGTTAAACACTGTAGGAGGACAATTTGGACCCCGGCCCAACTGCAGCTCTGAGTCACACAACTCTGCTGACGTCCTGTCAAATGAACCAAAGTTCAATCACTTACTGCAGCATTCTGTCAACAGGATGGAGCTGAAGCTTTCGTCTGAAATGTTTTGTAATTATATTTATAATTTTCTTCCGTTGGGTGCACTGCAGCCTGGCACCTGAACTGCCGTGGGCTTTATTCCAATCCAAAACATGTTGTAATTTAGCTGGCATCTCTGAATCGGCCTTAGCCTATTGGGCTGGCATCCCGTCCAATGCCCCGTGCTTCCAGGCAGCAATAACCATTTATCAAATAACCAGTTATGGAAATTGGATGGATAACTTCCCTTCTGTGTGCGAGGGACCTTGCCGTAAGTAAAATAGGAGGGCGTCTCACTTGTCAGATAAAGAACCTACAAGATGAATTGATGGATGCACATTAAACATACCTGACGCTGAAATATAATCAGAAAAAGCTTGTAATGAACTGGAAATTGTGTGTGACAGCCTCAGCCATACAGTGAGGCCGATGACCAAGGCTATACCACTTACAGAGAGCAGCCTCCTCTTTTGGGGAGACCTTGTGCGTGAACTTATTATAGAAACGTGCCAACACATCACAGCTGGAGAAAAATTACTATTCAGTATTGTGGAGAAGCGGGATGCTTTGGGAGGGGGCGAACGTGCCCCTGCATCACTGCAGCCACACAGTCCCGGTGAGGGGGAACTGAGCGCAGCACCACGGGCGCCAGGGGCCACGGAGGATACAGCCTGGAGATTTACGAGGCCATCATAGAGGCTTCAACATGGAACTTTCCAAAAGAGAATAGGAACTCATCCCCCTGTGGGGGGGTTTAATGTATTATCACCCCCTAGTTTTGGCAGAGCTAAATGTCACCGCTTTCATGAAGGAGCGTTCATGAGCATTAACTAACTAACTAACTAACTAACTAACTAAATAACAATAGACTGATTAATAATCAATAACAACAACAATAATAATAGTAATAATTTATATAGCACTTTTCTAGGTTGGCTTTCAAGGAAAATTAATAATAATAAAAAAAAAAATTAAAAAAAAATAATAATAATAATAACAACAAGGATCCAGCAGCTTCGCTGCTTGAATCCCAAATAGTAATAGTGCATTTCATTTACAGTACATAGCACTTTTCAGGAATCCTCAGATCCTTACAATAGGTGAGAGAACACAGATGACAGTAATAAACACAAGAAAACAAACATTTTGTCGCCTCGGGCACTTAGCAGCTATTAACACAGTTGCAGGTGCAACCCGCTTTGACAGACACTTATCACTGTGACGGTGAAGCAGAAGTTTCAGGCTTGGGGTACCAGCGCGGCACATTAGACCACAGAAAAGCGTCATAACAGTGATACATGTGAGTTTAAGCTTGGGCAAGTACTGAAACAACCTACAAACTGACCAATGACACCAATATCAGAAGAGTAAAAATGCCTTTTGGGAAGTAAGTCACAGAAGGCTTACTTGGCACAGAGGGATTTTTTGCATTAATTGTCTGAGAAATTGCTATCATTTCTGAAATCATGCTGTTAAACTTCCTCTCATAGTCTTGGATTCTTGAGCGGTGACATGAATTGCATTTATACCCTAAGTGCTAGGTAATCCCAGAACGGCCAGACAGCTGAAACCGTGAGACAGGGAGGCCAGCGATCGCGGGCAGCAATTTGCTGATTTAATGACATCAGTTACAGGCCTCCCGTATCTAATTCCGCTTTCAACATCAAACGCGGCGACAGGTCTGACAAGCCGAATCCACGCCTTTGCTGCCCAAGACTGCGATAACCATATTCGGTCAGGGCAACAATCCGATTGAGATCATCGAGAGAAACCCGAACAAGCTCCCTCACGTATGGATGCTTGCCCCTTCTCTCTTTTCAGTAAGTGTGCTTATCAATTAAAGCAGAAGCTTTTACGGCTGGTGGAGGGGGAGAGATCAGTCTCCGGATGAGCATCGATGCCCGTTTAACAACATGTTAGCACGACAGCAGCACCACTGTTCCTACAGCTAAATAGCTAGGCTTCTGAAAAGAAAATGCCTAGTTACAGAAAGGCTGGAAAATTACACGGAAACACGCATTCCCATTGATACACTGTAATTCTTATTCTGTATTGAAGCCGTGTTTCCTTCTCAGCTGACGGCCAGGAAGGCTTTACTTAACGCAAACTGCTTAAAAATGCAGGATCAAAATCTGCTCCAAGCGTCGAGATCTGGCCGCCACAGAGATCAGCCTGCAAGGGAAACGGCTAAGCAGTGACACGCCTCATCTTCTCCAGGGCTACACGCTGCCCCGTGGCGCTAATGGGCGTCAAGGCGTACGCAAATGACATGCAAATAATCACATTTAAGGGCGGAGTATGCAATTTACACATCCAGTTTGTTCAAAAGCCACAAACGCTGTGCAGGCAGCCTTTTTCGGGGGACGGGGACAGTTGAGACCCTCCTGTGGACTCTTGTGTGAGTGTCTAAGGAATCTGACCACTTAAACCACAAGTAATACTCATAACAGCCGTATAGAACTCCATCTATACTCCATCTCCATCTCACACAGGCACTATCTTTAAGCTTCATTTATATCTATACTTACAGTATGTTCACCGGAGACCCTGGAGCGTAGCAACCATGCATTTTATTGCACATTGTACAGAGTATAACTGATTGTGACAAACTTGGATAATCTGCAATGATAGAGGCTCAACTTAACTCGTAAGAATTATTTGAGCCTGTATCTATAACCATTTGTCCCAAAATGAGGACAAGATGTCTGAAGATTAACCCCATAGCAGAGACTGCTGAGGTTTCATCCATATTGGGGTGATTCTAGTGTTTCATGTGGGGGGGGGGGGGCATAAGAGGGGCCATAATTCATACAGGGCGGCCAGCCTTATCGTTAACTAATGATATGTTTTGAATCCGTGAGTGACAAGGAAGGGGGTACTCCGTGGGCCAATCAGCTTTCAGCTGGGCCCAGTTCTCCTTTGGCTCCGCCCCTGTATCCTTGAGACTTAGGATGGCAATGCAAGCGGCACGGGATCTCCACCCACCGAGACATACAGGGCGGCGTAGACGCTGAGGGCCGCCTCCTTGGAGGGGAAGGACTTGCGGGCGCGCAGCACATCCTCCTCGTTGCCTGTACACGCCCCCTGCTGGCTGATGAAGAGCGCCGCCTGCTGGCAGCCGAGGGCTGTGTAGTTGGGCTTGCACACGGTGAGGAAGTGGGGCGCCAGGTTGCCTGTCACCACCTGGCCGGCGTTGACGAAGATGTCGGTGGCGAAGAGGCCGAACGCATACACACCTGTGGAGGACAGGATCGGGACACACTTACAGCTGCCATTTGGGAAGATACACAGGAATTTTCACATATCCCACCTTCTCCCCCATGAGAAACACAGACACACACTTACGGATAAGAGCAAAGCATGGAGTCAGAGTGTAGGGGCAACCTTTCATTGGGATTAGAGTGTTTCACAGCCCAGTGCTCGCAGACCTCCAGACTGTCCACATTTTTACTCCCTCTCAGCACACCTGACCCAAACATTCAAGCAATCAAGAGCAACAAGGGTGTGCAAGAAATCGCATGCTTACACAGTACATACTGAATTTCACCAACTCGACC